AATTGCACTTTGTTTTACTCAAGTGGAACAAGGACCAGTAAAGCAAGGACTGGTCAGATATATTTCTCTCCACCTAACTTCAATATTTTATGTTTAATTATGACTTCAATATTACATTGGCAGTTTTAATATTAACTTAAGTAGGGTTTAATTTTTTTTTTCATTTTATTTTAAAAATAGAATTAGAGACTGGCGTCTTGCTATGTTGCCCAGGCTGATCTCAAACTCTGGGTCTCAAGTGATCCTCCAGCCTCAGCCTCCCAAAGAATTGGGATTATAGGCATGAGTCACTGCAACTGGCCTAATTTTGTAAAGTAATTATTTATAGAAACTATTTTTAGGCAGGCAAAATATGTTCAGTGACTCCTTATTCTCATTGTCTCATTCATAATTTCTTTTTTTTTCTGTAGCTGTCATTTTCAGAGATTATTAATTTCATCTCCAAATGAATCACAAAAGAAATTAAGAAAAAAAGACTTTTTAACTATAAAATTTGGGAACTGAGCTATAAAGTATCCTCTAGTTTTACAAATTTTGAGTTATAGGAAGAGAAATAGAAGGAATAGGACCATTTGTGAAGTACTTATTAAAACTTATTGCAGAAATAGAATGTTACCATGTTTCTCTCCTAAATATCAATAAGAGAAAAAACCATAAACTATAATTCAGCCAATAAATGGAATTCAAGAAAAAATAATTTAAATATTTTCATAATCCATAGAGAATAAAAGCCAAACAAAATCTTTTTTTTTTTTTCTTGCCTCAGCCTCCAGAGTAGCTGGGATTACAGGCACGCACCACCATGCCCAGCTAATTTTTTGTATTTTTAGTAGAGACGGGGTTTCACCATGTTGACCAGGATGGTCTCGATCTCTTGACCTCGTGATCCACCTGCCTCGGCCTCCCAAAGTGCTGGGATTACAGGCGTGAGCCACCGCGCCCGGCAAAATATAGATTTTTTTAGTAAATCTGCATGCATGAGAAAATTCTTAGCCAGAAAGAAAGACTGGTTTTGCCATGGAAAGTAACGATCTATCAACAATTAAATTTCACATACATTTTTAATAAACAAAAGATTTCAAGAGAAAAAATAGGCAATATTTTAAACAGGGCTGCATAGCCATGAGTCCTCTTGAACTCAGACAGAAACACACTGCCCTCCCTGTGCCTCCAGCACACACAGTCTATAACCAAGAGAAACTGAGTCATAAGGTGGCGAGGTCATCAACTTGCTGACTCTTACAGGAAGGAATGTCTCCTTTTTGCCCAGACACAAGTCTCATGAAAGCACAGATTAACAACAAGTATATAAAGCTAAGACATGAGGCTTCGGAACAACGCAAAAATTTTCATGGCATTAGGACACTTACCCTGGAAGAATGCCGTGCACTAGAAATTATGCCCACACCTTCATTCCTGCTAGGGGAGGGGAGCCCTGGAGCCCCTCTCCCAGAAGCAGACAACCACAACAGACCCCTTCCACAATACTCAGCTCCTATGGCTCCTTTCACCCTGGCCAAGAGAGCTCAGGACGCTGGTGTCAGTCATGCTAAGATCCTGGTGCCATCACTTAAATAGCCACCTGAAAGACAGGTCAGAACCTTGCTCCTGTCATGTCCCAGGACTTAAAAGAAGCCTGCTGGGAATGTCTACCCGTGACCTCCTGCAACTGATTTTTCAAGGGGTAATTAAACTGAACAGCATGCTTCATATGGGCCTCTGGAACAGTTTTTGAATTCTTGCTGTAACTCACAGTCATTGAAGAAAGGCAGTGATACTACTACTTACATCTCTAAATGGAGGGATATGTGGCCCCCAGTTCCATCTTCTGCTGGGAGTGTGCCTGAGATTGCCCTTTGCTTTGTAGCTCCATGGCCCCATCAAACTAGGGTCACCCTGCACTACTAATTTCTACCAGTCAGTCACAGTGAGCGCTGTAGATCTGTGGGGTGAACACATTGCCTTAGGAGGCTTAAATTCCAAGCCACCTCGGTATTGTGTTTGTAATACATATACTTTCTAAACACCAGATACAACCTTGCTGTGTGGATCTGATATTTTCTTCACCCACAGCATTTCACAAAATCCTATGGGCAATCAGTCACAAAGCCAGCTGCCCTCCAACATCATGCACTGTGACCAAAATGGGAAAATGACACACCTTTGTCAACATAGCCACTGTTTAAAAAATGCTTCTAACCAGCTGCTCACAGATGGTTCCTCCAGCAGACTCTTCACAGCTACTTGGCTGCCACATGGGCCATGCCATACACATGAAGGCTCACCCCTCCCAGAGAGGACATCGAAAAGTGCTAAGGGACCCACAGGCATATGTGAGCACTCCATGAAAACAACCTGGGGAAGCCACTCGAACCTACTACAGGTATTCTTAGAGGGGGACAGCTTCCAAAGGCAGCCGGCAGACAAGAGGTTTCCCCATAATGGCCACAGCAGGTAGAGGCTTTTTTGAAGACATCTACCCCGAGAGCCCAGGCACCAGCCATGTGCCCTCGCAACAAGGCCATGAGTCAGTCAGTCCCTGGGGAACTGGAGAGGTCCGCAGGCCAGCAACCCTACCCCCTGCCGAGGTAATTGCAGTCACACAGCGTTTCTGCAGCCCAGCCCACAGAGGCTAGAGAGCTTGGAGAGATGGCCCCTGTCTGCAGCTCACATCAGCCACTCCCAGCTTCTCAGCCCCCGTGGAGGCTGCAGGGCTACCACAGGGATGGAAGCTTGCAGCTGAAGACCTAGCGTGTAAACCATTACTCTCCAACTCCATCCTTAACATCCTTGTTGCTTTCCTCCTGGCCTTTAGCAGGGAACTGATCAATCCTCCGAAAGGCACTGACCAGCAAGCCACCTCCATTTTCTAGATCCCTGGTGAGAGATCCCGGAACACGCCTGGGACCAGCGATGAACTCCCAAGTCCCTTCTTCTAGCCAGACCATGGATGGCCCTTTCACTGCCTTTTCACTCCTTTCCCTGGAGGGCAACTGATAGGACTTGCTAATAGCCAATTTTGAAATTTTACATCAGAAAATCACAAGAGCAAAACTGACTCCACCCACAATGGTTCCAAGTCCCGGAAGCCCATTGTTGGGTAAATATTGGCTGCAGTGCAATTTATCATCCAAATTAGGCTTTTTGTCAGCTGGAGTGTACCACCAACAGAAGTGACTTGGAACTGGCAGCAGTCCTCATTTTAGCTAAGAGAGAGGCTGCTTCCTCCTTGCTTTAGAAAACCAAATTGTTTTGCCTGTAGCTACATAATTGCTCCTGAGGACTAGGCCAGGCATGGTGGCTCCTGCCTGTAATCCTAGCACTTTGGGAGAACAAGGCGGGTGGATCACCTGAGGTCAGGAGATCAAGACCAGCCTGGCCAACAAAGTGAAATCCCGTCTCTACTAACAATACAAAAAAAAATCGCTGGATGAGGTGGTGTATGCCCATAATCCTAGCTTCTTGGGAGGCCAAGGTGGGAGGATTGCTTGAACCCCAGAGGTTGCAGAGAGCCGAGATCCCGCCACTGCACACTCCAGCCTGGGTGACAGCAAAACTCCGTCCCAAAAAAAAAAAAAAAAAGATTTTTTAAAATAATTTTTAACATTTCCCAAGTAACATATTCTATTTGCCACTTTGGATCCTTAGTTACATCTAACCTGCCTGTAAAACACAACATGATAGCACGGAGCCCATCTTTATAAAGCCTAGAAACATTCTTTACCTTGAGTCTGTAACAAAAACAACTACCCTTGTGAAACTGAAAAGACGCTTTGTTTCATTACAGAAAAGGCTCAAAAGCATTTGGGTTGGAGGACAAATAAAACTATCAAATATAATTTTAAGCACCGTTTAAACATTTTGTTTTAAATATTTAATTTTTGTTTGTTAAAGCCATGAAAAGATGGTGGAAAGAAACCAGATCTGTGGCTCCCAAACACCTCCAGGGCAGTAGTTCCAATGTCACCTGGGGCACGTGTTCAAAAACAGATATCCAAGCCCCACACCCAGAGACTCTGACTCGGAAAATCCAGGGTGGGGCCCAGGAATCTGTAGTATTTTAAAGTACCCCCAAATAATTTCAGGGTAAAACTAGATGTAGAAAACAATTACTAAGTAAATAGGCATTTAAATGCTGGTGTTTAGTTCTAATCTGGTCTCAGTATAGTCCCAAGAGGCATAAGGACACATTTTAGAGTCCTGCTTGCCGGAGGCCTTGCTTTGGAGCTCACTGAGGTCTGAGGGAAGGCCCTGTATTTTTAAGAGCATTCCAAGTAAATTTGGGAAAGAGTAGGGTGGGAACATGCTCTTTACTGGAGGCAAACTGAATTTTGGTCACAGCTTTACAAACGCTAAGTCTGTGATCCTCATGAAGATCCAGTGAGAAGTGTCCACAGCGGCACAAACGGCTCCTAGGTTTTGTCATAGCTGAAATAAACCCCACTACAATTAAAGTGTCTTAGAAGGCAAGCTCTCCCATCAAGAACACAACTGGGCAAAGGAAATCAGTGAATACAGCAGCACATAACACTTTATGGTGATCTTTGCTTTGGGTGGATGATTTAAAAAAAAGAATAAAAGCTTGAATTGATACGATAAACAAAAGCTACTTAAATGTTATGGGCACTGTTATCTATGAAACCACTGGCCTCATAGTTCTTCTGATCTACATTAGAAATACATAAATATATACATATTATATATAGCAACTCTGATAAAAACCTGGAAATAAAACAATTTAAAGCTCTTTAAACCAAAACCGCTTGCTTTTACTTGGGTTAATTTAACCATAAAAAATGATAGAGATCTTAATTAAGAGTACTTAAGTTTGTCATTTTGTTGACATTTAAATGTAATTTCCTCTAAAAACTATTCTTAGGTATCAACTAACTAAACTGAACTGTTGGTTTAGATTATTGTACTACCAGATAAGATAAAAATTGAGATAATTTACTAGAGAGAAACCCACTAATTTAGGAGTCTATGCTGTTTTAACTTACCCCTGAGGCTGTAGGTTGTGTTGTAGGGGAAGTATTTTTGCTGCAATCATCTGAGTTAGAAGAGGTGGAAGTTGGAGTCATAGGAATGGAATTATTGCTATTACCTGCAACAGTCAAAATTAACCTTATAAATATACATCTACTCTACTGTTAAGCTTGGCAAATACTTTACAATCAAATGGCATTTTATTATATTTACCAGAGCAAGTCTTTGATTTATTTATGTTTTTAGGTTTTCGTTTCCTGGTTTGAATTCCTTCTTTTTTCATAGCAAGTGGTCTGGGCACCTAAAAAATTTTCACATAGGCCATAAGTTTAATATTATATTGAAGAAACACCAAAGACCCAACATTGGTACCGAAAGCCCTCATTTAAACAAACTTGGCAGCGGGTGCAGGGGCTCATGCCTATAATCCCAGGCCTTTCAGAGGCCACAGCGGGTGGATCACCTGAGGTCAGGAGTTTGAAACCAGCCTGGCCAACATGGTGAAACTCCTTCTCTACTAAATATACAAAAATTAGCTGGCTGCGGTGGCAGTCATTCCAGCTACTTGGAAGGCTGAGGCAGGAGAATCGCTTGAACCCAGGAGGTGGAGGTTGTAGTGAGCCAAGATCGTGCCACTGCACTTCAACCTGGGCAACAAAATCGAGACTCTGTCTTAAAAAAAGAGGAAAAGAAAGGGACTTGGCATAAGTTTCAATCCAATTTTTATACACATTCAAAAGATCCCAAGTGCACAAAGACTACACTTTCCTCATCAAATGCAGAGATTCCTTGAGAAAGAATGAGATGATTTGCCAAGGAGAATTCCTTCAACTTAATGTTTATTGTTTGAAATGAGTAACTCTTCACTGAATAAGTATTATTTCATCTTTGAAATACATCTTTCATCATGTATTTCCTTCCTCCTACAGATGCAAGGTTATTTTTCTTTTTAAGATTGAAGTGTTTATAATATTTTCTGCAATCCTTTAAAATGAACTATGAAATATTTTAAACTACACTATTTTTTTTTCTTTTCTTTTTTTTCTTTTCAAAGATGGGGTTTCACCATGTTGGTCAGGCTGGTCTTGAACGCCCAACCTCAGGTGATCCGCCCGCCTTGGCCTCCAAAGTGCTTGGATTACAGGCGTGAGCCACTGCGCCCAACCTGACTATAACTATTAAATGTATTACTCCTTTGCACAATTGTCTGATTATATTCAAAATTTTTAAGAGATATAGACTGGTGATTGTGCATTTTTTATTGATTTCCTTAACTGTGGAGTTTTAAAAATGGTTACTAACATATTACCAATTCTAAATTGCACATTTTTCACACTTCTAAAATTGGAATGTGTCTTAAAGGACAATAGTTCAATTGGTGGCATTTTTTGTTTCCTACTGGTGCATAGGATAAGAGCTCATATTATAATACCACCTTCAGTTCAATAAAATGTACCCAGTATGTACACTGAATATATTAAACATATTCAGTAATAAATTACATGCATTCAAATTTTTCACTTGCATATCTTTCATTTGCTGATTTTTTTTTTTTAACTGAAATCGCATCCAAACGAGATACTAAATGTATACGCAAGTAAGCAGAATACATGGCATACCCCATGGAGTTTCATGTAGAGTCCACAAGCATTGCACACGGGCTCCCCCTCAGCATTTCTGCGCCACAAGGTGGTAGTTGTGGTGTGACAGTTGGCACAGGACAATCCAAGCCGCCGTGATGAAGGCTAGAAGCAGTACAAGAACGTAAGTGGAAAAATCTAAGTCACGTATATACATATATATATATATATATGCTACATACATACATTAAGGTATTCTGTCCCTGTCATCAACAAGCATGTATCTGTTTTATTATAAATGAAACGGTCCTTGAGAAAAAACAATTGCAGTGTATTTAGGTTGACTTTTCCGAACCAAGAAACTTGAGTTTTGCATAGCGTGCTGGACCTTACAAGTTGGATTTGCCCCTCCAGCTAGCTTGTCTCCGTGGATTCAAGAATACCCAGAAGGGACTTCATGCATAGCTTTTACCAGAGCATAACAAGGAGAGTTTCACCCATAGTTTCTTCTCCAATTTAGAGTTTCCCAGTTACTACTGGCACCTTTTTTAGGGGAGTTAAAAGATTTCCTAAAAGTTGGACAAACGGTTTTATATTTGAAACACACCAGAAGTAACACCACAACCAGACATTAACAAGCAAGTGCCCCCACCACACCACACCCCACCCCAACCTTGGACAGCAGTTGGTTGCGCACTTTTGTCACAGGTCTGAGATTTAAGTCATGAAATGCAATCACAAGCCACTTGCCAATGTGCTAAATGGTTCTGGGCAGTCTCCACTTCTCCTAAAAACTGAGGATCATTAGGTCTACTTCTCAGACATATGTAAAAGAGTAAACCAGAAACTTTGAAAGGACCTATGTACATTAATGGAAATGGATTTCAGAAGAGGGATAAGCGTTTTGTAAAAAAAGGAAATATATTTCAACACATTCCATAATAGCCATATGACTGCCTGCTGCCTACATTTTTGTTTTATCTGTGTTACAAAGTATACAAGCAAATTTTGTGGCATTATCTTAATGCTGCCATTGTCTCAGATGCAGTGATCCCAATACATTTGCCCTGTCAGTATAATTCTCAACTTTTGTTCATACAAAGGGTTAATTGGTATTACCAGGAAAGGTAAAAGGCCACCTGTCTGCCACTGTCACTCCCATGTCCATGTTTTCTTTAGGCCCATAACATCCTTAAAGGGAATTTATTTCCTCTAGATTACTACATGTTAATTATAAAGGATGAGAGTTTAAGCTAATATAATTTCCTACCCAGAATGGCAAAATATAAAACTTGTTTTACCAAGCTTAAATTTCCTTTTAAATGCTTTGAATTACTACACAAATTGTGACATGGCTTCAGTTAAAAAAAAAAATATATATATATATATGGGTGCTTGCTTCAGCAGCACATATACTAAAATTGGAAGGATACAGAGAAGATTAGCATGACCCCTGTGAAAGAATGACACACAAATTCTTGAAGCTTTTCATATTAAAAAAAAAAAATTAGAGAAAAATTCAGGACCAAACCAAGTTGAAAATTACAAAATTTGGGAAGTTAAGAAAATCAATGGTAAAGAATGAAGAACAGAAATGTAAATTGAGTATGTCTCAAATATTCACAGATTACTGGACGGAGACTTCCAAAACCTTTGCTGGCAAATTTAAAAGATAAAATTAGAATTTGCATTTATAGTTCGCATCCTGTTGCATTACTTTAGCACCATGCTTTACAGAGAAGTTATAGACACAAAGAGAAACTGGCAAACCTTTTAGCACTACAACATTTCTAAGAAGTCAGTGCTAAGAATCAGTTTGACTTTTAGTTGAAATGAGTACGCTTGGCTCACGGGAGAGCTACTTGGGAAGTTGCTTTTCTAAAATGACGACAAAAATATTAACAAAATTTTACACATCAAGGCTTTTCTTTTTTCTTTCTTTGTGGTTAAAAGAAAATAATCTTCTAGCAAAGGACTCCTTTCCCTTCATAAATGTGAAATCAGTAAATGAGGGACAGGAAGGTTCACTTTATAAGCAAGCCATTTATGACAGTTTCCAGTGGAATTTGGAGCCAATGTGAAGCAAACTTGTTATCAGAATTTGCCATTATAACAAAGGACTTTATGACTGTCAACTGCAGATCATAAGTGAAGCCAGTCCTCATAAACATGTGAAATGCAGGTGAATGGGTTATAAAAGTTCCTTGTAACAAGTGATCTCAGTCATATTCCTCACTGGCAAGGAATTCAAGTTACACCATAAATCTCTTATTTTGCAATGTATTGCAAGTTCAAATTCACAGTGATTGGTTCTATACTGCTGGCTAAACAAACTTGAGTTCAACATTCTGTTTCTGAGAACTAAGCAAGATCCATCAAAACCATAAATAAGAAGCCCAACAAGGAGACCTAATTGATAGTGACACGCCCTTCAATTGGTATCATTTATAACCCATTTACAAAGCATATTTGCTGACCTTGGTTATAGCCAAGACACCTGCTAAGCACAAAGAAAGCTAATTGATTCAGAAATGTTAAAGACTGTTCTTTTTTCCTCCTAAGTTATTTTTACTGGTACATGCACAAAACAAATGGCAGTATTTAAATGTTACTAGATCAAATTTATAATGCAACCGGAACCTAAATAGCTACTATTCCATCAAATTTTTGCTCAATCTCTAGAAAATGTTACCTTTGAGAGTTCAATTAGCTCAACGTGGCTTTCTAGAAAAATAAGTTTCATTGTTCATGTGTTGTCTATTATATCAAAACAAGGAACTTCTGTGGGATATTTTCCAGTTACTACTTTTACTTCTTTAATATGATGCATTTAAAGAAAATGAAACCCACAGAGAGTCACACTGCAGTTAAGGGTACCCTTTAAAGAAAATTGTAAGCTGTGGGAGGTTGTAATGAGTTTAAGGCATATACACTCATTAAATTAACCTTGGCCACTTTATTTTAAATGCATTAAAACAAAACCAACCATAAAACTAATTGCTTCTCTTTAAGGTGTCAGACTTACATTGTGATGCAATTTCACTCTAATCTATTTAACACAAACAACATGTGTAGCTTTGTTCCTGCTAATTAGAGTATAACAATTAAATAAATTACTGGGATACTTAAGACGTCTGGCATCTAACTGTAACATATTTAGCTTTAAAGGGTTATTAGATTATGAGTACTTCGCTAAACAAATGTTAGCCTTACAGTGGCGTTGGTGAAAGCTTTCCTTTGTTTTCTCTAACCATTACAGCAGTAAATACCTTCGCCTGCTAAGAAGCACACATAACAATGACAATACGAGATTAATCCCCGAAATCAGGATTCCCTTCCTTTAAAACGTGGTGGCCGCGCGCAGTAGCTCTTGCCCATAATCCCAGTACTTTGGGAGGCCGAGGCGGGCGGATCACCTGAGGTCGGGAGTTCGAGACCAATCTGACCAACATGGAGAAACCCCGTCTCTACTAAAAATACAAAATTAGCCAGGGGTGGTGGCGCATGCCTGTAATCCCAGCTACACTGGAGGCTGAGACAGGAGAATCGCTTGAACCCGGGAGGCGGCGGTTGCGGTGAGCCGAAATGGTGACATTACACCCCAAGCTTGGGCAACAAGAGGGAAACTCCCTCTCAAAACAAAACAAAACAAAAAAACACTAACAAACCAAAAAATAAAATTAAAAAACAGACAACAATAAGGTAAAACGTGTGCGAATCGGTGAAAACGCTCAACTTAAGAACTTACAAACCACAGTTTTCTCAAGTTCCACGAATTTCTCTGATTTCGAAACAACAAAAGTTAGAGCAAATAAATTTTCACCAGACTCAAGTGCAATCCACGATATGGAATTTGAGGATATTCCTGAGGATAAGAGGTAGAGGGACCAAGAAGGTGGAAAGGACAAAGTCAAAGGCACCCAAAAGAATGTGGCTGTGAGGAGGCGGGAGGGTGGGTGGATTTATGACATTCTATTTGGGGGATGAATGGCATAAGTGAACATGGTTTTCAAGGATAAAATCTAAACCATACACAGTGAAAAAAGTCTTCCTTCGCCCGGCTTCAGTAGGTGTTTTTCTCCCCGGGTTACCATCACCAATTTCTTGCCTATCTTACCAGAATTATTACAGTGTTTCGGCAAAGTACACCTAGAGGTAGATTTTTTTTCTTAAAACATGGTAATATTTTGCACCTTCCTTTTTTTGTTTTTGTCATTAGGGACGTCATTCCCAGCATGTAAATATGGGGAAAGGCTATCTTGGCTTCCCAGACTCCAATTTCGGGATAACCTCCACTTGGGCGCCAGTGGGTAGGCGTTGGAACTGCCGGGACCGGATGGTACCGCTGAGTCCCCGCTCGGGTGGGACCGCGGAGGCCTCACCTGTCCCCGGGGGTGACGCCCGAGGCTGGGCAATTTAGGGCGGGGCGGGCCAGGCCAGGAGCGCCCGGAGCCGGCCGCAAGCCAGGGGCAGGGTAGGTCACACTCACCACGCGCTTCTGTGGCTTAATGAGGGGCCGGCTGAGGCCGTTCATCTTGCTGTAGAGCCCGCAGGCGTTGCACAGGTAGTGGCCGGTGCCGTCCCGCCGCCACAGCGGCGTCTGGATGGAGCCGCAGTTCACGCACTCGCGGCTCTCGGACAGGTCCTCCAGCAAGTCTGCGGCGACAGCGGGGCGAAAGGCCGGTGAGGCCGCGCCGGGCCTTCCCTCCCCGCGGGCCCCGGAGATCCCGGCCCCCAGTCCCGGTGCCCGGCTTCCCGCGCCCTTCCGGGCTGCGCCTTTTCTCCTTGGCCGCAAAGCCAGGAGCAGGGGTTTTGATTTCGTCATTATTGATCCTCTAACCCTCTGTCCAATACTTCTGCACCCCCAAGGCGCCTCAGTATTGACCCCGGAAAAGAGACAGTGCTGGAAGCAGAGGATCTCAGAGTCCGAGATGAGCGGTGGGGAGGTCGGCTTGAGTCCCCTGACTCCTACTCTCAAGCTGTCCCCGAGCTTTTAAAGACTGAAATCCATCATCATTACAGTACGTCGTTGCCAAACCTGAGCAAGCCACACAGCAACACTGACCACTGACCACCGAGCCCCGCTGTAACCCACAAATATCCGGGGACACAGCGAGGCTGATAAAATTTACTTTTATCTCAAGTAATTTTAAAAAGTGTTTTCTACATCTGCCACACATCCATATGTGCCTCTTCTCAATTAAAGATACACAAGTGAAATTAAAAGTACTATTCTTAGGCACCTACATTAGTTAGAAACTAGAGATTAGAAAATTACATCTTTTCAGGAGGAAAATGTACTAACATTAAGCACAGAGTTTAAGTTTTATTTTCATGCCACAAAAATCACATACTAAAATACCCTGATGTAGAAGTGGGCCCAACTGCTTCTATCTGCAAAATTTTTACAAGAGGGTGATACCTTACAGTTTGAAAAAAATTACCAATACCTTCCCAGTGGTCATTTCAAGTTATGCAATCCATTTAAAATCTGTTTGTTTTGCCAATTATTCTTTGGTTGGTTTTCCGAATTCACAATAATCTAAACCTGCTAATAAAAACAAATCTTAATTAAGAGTAAATGTTGTAACATTTGTTACTTCTCAAGAAGGTTAAATATGGAATAAAGTATAGGCAAGAAAAAAAGAAAGTCTCCCATTGTTTACCGTTCTTTAGATTACAGAAGGTTTAAATGTTCCAGTTTTGCATTATTGACAAAGCATTTCTGAATCACATTTTAAAGTAAATAAACACTACATGTCATTGTTTTATCTGAAGATTGTGTGCTAGCGAAACCTTTTTGTTCTTTCTCATCCCTTTACAGCTTATTGCTTGTGTCTACCATCAACTGTGTGGTAACGATATTTAAATATGACTTTAGCATAAAAACTCCTTAATTCCATCAGTACTATTTACAAAACATGTCTCCTTTCTCATTTCATATTAAGTTTTAAAGAAACTATCAGTACTGGTCAGTAATGCAAAAAACAAAGTTTTAAAGAACCTAGCATCCTACAAAGTTCAAAGTTGTCATGGGGATACTGCAACTTACAACACATCACAAAGATTTATTCTTCTTTGCCCTAAAAGCCACTATTGACTACGGTAATCAGTAAAATGGTCAGGACTTCAAGGACACTGAAGTTAAACAAGGTATTTGTCTTTGTTGTTGACTTTAAAATGTTACCTATCAGAGCCCCTCTAGATAGAGGAGTGGGGCATTCCCTGGAAAACCCAGTCCTATGCCTGAGAACAATAAGAATCCTATTAGAAGACAGTGTGAACTCCCCAGGTAGAACTCTGAAAAGCCAAAGACAAAATTTAATTAGAAGTGCACGTCGGATAAATACAAGCTAGTAAGGCTTTTTTGTTTTTTGTGTTTTTTTGAGAAGGGGTCTTGCTTTGTCGCCCACGCTGGAGTGCAATGGTGCAGATCTCAGCTTACTGCAACCTTTGCCTCCCAGGTTCAAGTGATTCTCGTGCCTCCCGAGCAGCTGCGATTACAGGTGAATGCCACCACGCCCAGCTAATTTTTGTATTTTTAGTGGAGGTGGGGTCTCACCATGTTGGTCAGGAACTCCTAACCTCAGGCCTCAGCCTCCCAAAGTGCTGGGATTACAGGCGTGAGCCACTGCACCCAGCCCAATCTAGGAAGCTGGCTTATTTTTAGTTAAATAAAAGCTCTCATTCCCTCCCTACCTCTTTCCCACACCCACCAGGCAGCTATAATCCTGTAGGTGATACACACAAAAAAAAATGCTGTCTTTATAAAAGCTATAAGATCTGATCCTGTTGGAGTGTTGCTCACCAAGTTTCCCCTTTTCAACTTGCCATTTCTCTCCTAACATGGCTGTTTGGGGTGTCGTTGGAGAGTGAGATTCAGGGGAGAAGGGCACCACCAACTGTCTTTCTCTGTGTGGTACGAGGACACAGGGAGTCAAACACAGTTCTACAGAAGTTTAAGGAGGGTGTAGGACCCAGGAAATAAAGGGAGTCCTCACACCCCTTTATTTCCTGGGTCCTACGCCCTCCTAAGCTTCTGCAGAACTGTGTTTGACTCCTCAACTCATCTACCCAGTCAGCGAGAGGTGTATAGTGTGGGTTCCCAGAAGCCTCCAAATTCTGCGGGCTGATAAAGCTCAGCACTCAGGTTTTAGCCCTGGTGTTTAAAGTGTCTGTCTCCAAAAATGGTTTGTTCAAAAAAAAAATAAATAAATCTGGTTGAAGAAACAGGAAATCTAGCTAGGAAGCCAGCCTCAGAATACCTGTGAGGACAAGCAAAGTTAGGGTCACTCACTCCCCACCCCTCACCCCAATACTAGCTTGGTCCCAGTCACTTCCTGCTTTCCTAAAAGACTCTATGCAAAAGCTGGGTGTTCCCAAATCCCTACCCTTGTTTTTAAACATACTTTAAAAAATAGCAAATCTTCTGGGTCTACAGAAAATTTCTCTAACTGTGGTGTGCCCAGAAGATGAAAAAATTAGGAAAAGCATAGCCCGAATTTAAAACAAAAAGAAACATATTGGCTTGTCCGCAAGTGCCCCATACTGCGTCTAAAAGGATTTCTCCTACAGGACCAGTTACTGTAAACGTGTAGAGACTCTCTCTCAGTCATATGAAATGCTGGGAGATTGGGGGAAAGGAACCTGGAGATCAAGCTAAGGTGTGTCAAGAAATAAGCAGAGCTGCGGGTGCTGGCTCAAGCTGCAACCACCCTTCACCCAACTCACACACCCTTGCACATTCCCTACAGAACTTTCTGACTGACAAAAGAAACTTCACACCCAACCACTGGCCCCGGAGAGATTCCCAGTCTTTCCGTCTCTCAGATCCTGGGAGCCAAGCACGGGTCCCTATGTAGCAGTAAGGATGAGAGCCCTCTACTCTCAAGTCCCAGACCAATAGTGCAAATCTCAACAGGTTCCCCAATCCCATTCCACACACCCATGGGAAAGATGGTCTCCTGGGCCAGCTTTGCAGCAGAAGCAAAAAGAGGGAATTTTGCTGGGCATGGTGGCTCAATGCCTATCATCCCAGCACTGTGGGAAGCTGAGGTGGGTCGATCACCTGAGGTCAAGAGTTCGAAATCTGCCTGACCAACATGTCAAAACCTACTAAAAATACAAAAATTAGCCAGGTGCAGTGGTGCGCACCTATAATCCCAGCTACTCAGGAGACTGAGGCAGAAGAATTGCTTGAACCCAGGAGGCGAAGGTTTTAGTGAGCCACTGCACTCCAGCCTGGGTAACAGAGAGAGACTATCTTAAAAAAAAAGTGAGGGTGGGAGAACTTTGAGACCAAGTCTTACAGAACTTGGAAGAGGAGAGAGAAAGAACTTGTTACCAAGATGTCTTGTTGTCTCCTTGCAAGGCAGCAGAAAGCTGTTCAAATCAGTTCCTTCACTTTCAAGCCTCTTGTATTTCGAGCACACAAGGTTGTGTCTCTTGTGTCTTTCGCACACAAGGCTGGGAATGTCTCACTTAACCTAAGGAATCTGCACCCCTAGAAGGACTGACTTGCTGTCCCTAAAGGTAGCAGGGAGGCTCCTACGAGAAGCACAGACCTGGGGTACACAAGACATCGGGGTAGGACTGTTTGGACTAACGTCCCTCCCTGCGCTCTGCCACCTCTGTGGCACAAGGGGCCTCCCCCACACCTCCCTTCAAACAACAACAAAAAAAAAAGTGCTGTTTCCTTAGAGGAAAGATTATCAAACAGGTGAAATATACAGTAAGAAGAGCCAGCTGAAAGCACCAAGGGCGCAGAAGGTTGCAGCTGAGAAAAGGAGCCTAAACACCCCCTTCTGCTAGAGTAAACAAAACACTTTTCAAAATGAGGTACTTCCAGGTATTTTTTGACAATAACGTTTTCACGGTTTACCCCCTAATGGCTCCCAGACACAGGAATTAGAGTATGAGTCAAATTGGAAGCTGAAAAATTGGTGGGCTAAATTTTTAAGGAATAGGTGCCCCAGCTCCAGGACCTCCGGGTTGCAGCCTAGCCATGAGAGCACAAGTCCCAAACCAGGGTCCAGCTGATGCCAAGCCCAAGGGCCTATCCACCAGCTCTCCTTCAGGATGAAGTCACAAGTCTGGCCACTCCAAGTGTCCTCATTTTTTCTTTCCTTGTCTCCCTCGTGGGAGGGGAGATGCCAACTAGCTTCCCTAGGATATCTAGGTCCTTCTGTTGTGCTCTTCTTCTAAACACCCTTCTCTAGGAAAACACACGCACCCTTTGGAGAGTTCAACTGGGTGAGCCTGCATGTACATGTGTGCGTGTTTGGGGGTGGATCAAGGGCCTACCACTCTCCCAAACTTACCCCCATCGTGGAATTTCCTCCACTGGCCCAAAGTAGGGTCTGCGATGGGGCTCAAGCGCCGTTAGTTCCCTCCCAGCCTCTATTTTTCCCCAATAGCAGATGCCATTCACTAGTCATCAAGTCCCTGAGAACTTCTCCAAGGCACGAAGATGCAGATGTGCATTTGGTCTCTTCCGCGGAAAGGAACTTGGCACAACAGAATCGCCTCAGTGCTACCAGACTTTGATCACCCAGCCACAGGCCTGCAAACCTTCCTGGGACCAGGCCGACCTCCTCGCACTCGGACAAGAAAGTCCTGAAAACAGGGCCCAAGTGGAGTAGCTGCTCCGCGTCCCTCATGTGTCCCACCGCTTCGGACCCGCACTCCCACCCCGAGGCGCGACCCTTACCTGCGCTAGGGCCCCGGGGCACCGGGAGCGGGGCTCCGGCACGGCTCTGCAGGCTGTGCAGCACCGGGGTTTCGAAGGGTCCGGCGGGCCAGGCGGGCGTCAGCGGAGCCCCCACGTAGGGCGAGTAGGGGCTCGGATGGTGGTGGTGATGGTGGTGGTACGTCCCGTTCAGCGGTCGCGCCGCCGACAGCGAGCTGTACTGGTGCTCGCGGCCGCCCATGGCCGCCAGGCTGCCGCCGCCGCCGCTCACGCCTCCCGCGCCCCCGCTGCTGGCCGCCGCGTAGCCTCCCGGCTCCCGCGCGGCGCCGTTGGCCATGGGCGGGCTGGGCGAGTAGGGGAAGCGCGCCGAGACGTGCGCCGCGGCCGAGCCAGCGCCGCCAGGCCCCGCAGCCCCGCCGCCCGCCGCGCCGCCTCCGCCGCCATATGGGGGGCTGTCGGCCGAGGCCTGGGGCCAGCCGGGGTGCCCGCCCGCGCCGCCTGCGTGGCTAGCTGGCCCGCTGCCGGAGCCCTGCAAGTGGTACGGCAGGCCGGGCAGCATGGAGCCCACGCGGGTGGTGGGCACGTAGACCGGGGAGCTGGCCGCCGCCGCGGCTGCTGCCGCCGCGGCCGCAGAGTGCACGAAGCCGCCTGGCGCGCCGTCGTAGGCGGCCGGACCCTGGCTGGAGAGGGCTGCAAGGGTCTGGTACATCTCCTCCGGCTGCTCGGGTGCGAAGGGGCTCAGCTTGGCGCCGCGGCTGGACCACAGCAGCTTACTGGCGGTCGCGGCCTGATCGAGGTCAGTGAACAGCAGCAGGTCCTCCCAGTTCGACAGGTTGCCCCCAGGGCCGGCGACCCCAGGCGCCGAAGGTCCGTGGGGAGCCCCGAAGGGATGCGAAGCGTAGGAGCTGAGCAGCAGCGAGCGGGCCGGGGGTCCTGCAGCTGCCTCCGCGTCGAGCTGAGGCGTTCCGCAGTTGCTGGCGCCGCCGGGACCCCGCTCCCCTCCCCGGGAGCAGGAGGAGGACGAGGAAGAGATGGGGGAAGGTGGCGTGGAGGGCTCCCGCGCTGGAAAGGCTCCGGAGTCGCCGGTGTCCGCAGTCGCGGCCCCGAAGCGCTTCGGCAGGCACCAGCCGCCGTCAGTCAAGGCCATCCACGGTCCCGCGCCGCTCCAAGCTGACGTCTAGGTCCTGAGGCGGGGTGGGGGAGACGAGAACGGTAGGAGAGACACAGACGGGTTACCAAGAGCTTCGGCTGCACACCACCTCGCCTCCAATCCTTTTTCTAGTTCAAACGGGATCCGCCTCCAATGGGATCTTTCAGAAGTCTAAGATCCCATTTGAGACTTCTCAAACATCCCATTTCTGCCCGGGGCGTGAGGATTGGGAAGGGAGAGGCGAATGGAGCCTGCGCAGCCGCCACAGGGCCATGGAAAGACTGGGATACCAGCCCTCCTTCACAGGCACCGCTCCGGTCTCGCGCCCTAGCCGCCCACCCTCTCCGCCGCATCCTTTCTCCGTGCGCGCGCCAGACCTCAGGGGTGATCTGCAGAAGCTGGCTGAGGCTTTCTTTCCGCCCTAAAGTGTCTCCCCCGGGCTGATGACACACAAAAGAATTTAAGTAGCTGTGCCTGTCGCCAACGCCGCATCCCGCCTTCCTGCGGATGCCTCGGGGTGAGGGTTCCCCGCGGGAAAACGGTTCGCATAAGGAAGGCAGGCAACCTGTCCAGGAAAACGAAACCGCCGCGTTCTCCTGTACTGGCTCTCCCGGAGCTTTCTGGACTGCGCTGCGAGCCCCAGAGAGAAATGCAACTCGGCCCAGGGAAAGTGGGACGTCAGGGCGGGGACAGCAGCCGGGTCCTTCCTGGCAGAGGCAGTGCGGGGAGCTCGCGGGGCGGGAGTCGCCAACCCCACCGACGTCCCCGCGGCCCCCCACACCTTAGACACGGCCTGCCCCTGCTGCCACCAGCGCGAGCGCTCACGCCTGCCGAGCCACCCGGCCCTCCCCGCGGTCATCTCTAGCAGCAGAAAGGCCGGACCGTTCCGGAATCGGACGTAGCTGGGTGGAGCGGAGCGCAGAGAAAAGGAGGGGGGAACGCAAGGGGTTGGGGGGGCGTGAGACCGCCCCAGAGCCGAGGCGACCCCAAAGTTGAGAGCCGGAAGAATGACAGGGAGACTCGGAGAGAGTGGGGGAGGAAGGCGAAATGCAGCGGGGCTGGCCTCCTCCAGGCTGCTCTTCCAAATCGCCTCGGCTCATCGGAGATTACCACACTAAAATTAATGCCCACACACAGACCTGGCTAGATAGCAAGAAAGAAGTTTCTCTGCCTGCCTGACTACCCGCTCCCGCCCCTTTGGGCTGAGATAACTCGGAGATAAGACTGCGCGCAGATAAGCGCTTTGAGGAGAGGAAAAGAGACTAGAAGTTGGTCCGCGGTGTCCCGGGTGCCTGGGAGCCACTATAGCCCGCCCGGAGGGGAGGAGGGAGACACCCTCGGAGCTGACTGCGGCCTGGAGAGGGCCGGAGAGCCAGAGGCCAAGGGGACCAGGAGAAGTAAGGGTGAAGGGGAGGGAAGCGGAGAGATCGCGCGAGGAGGAAGCAGCCGAACCTCGGGCTGTCGCTGCGCTTGGAGAACGGCGGCGGCGGAGGGTGCTCCCAGGCGCGGAGACAGGCCGAGGGCGCCAGCAGGCGAGCGCGAGTCCGGGGTCTGCGCCGCGCTGCTGGTGAATAAAAAGGAGAGAGGAGGCGCCTCTTACTGCTCTGCCGGAAAACTGCAGCCTGCGCTCCTGATTGGACTCACCGAGCCCTAAACAAACAGCGCTCGCCGAAGGGTGCCAGGCTGTGGGTCGGAACTGCGCTCCGCGAGCAGCTGGGCGCTGGAGGTGAAGAGGAGGAGGAGGGATCGAGGGGAGGAGAGAAAAGAGGGTGGGGAGGGGACGGCGAGGGGGAGGGGAGCGCGCCGCCCAGGCAGACAATGAGCGCCGCGCTGCCTGCGGGCGTGGGCTGAGCCCGGAGCTCTATCCCCGGAGTGGGGGCGAGTCCACCCGAGGGCGCTGAGCCCAGGGACGCTGGGGGAGGGGCGAGGGCCACAGAACCCCCAACCTGGCTGGCGACCCTCACCCACCCAGCGGCGGTGCACCCTCCTGCTCCCGCAGTCGCACACACACCCACACGAGGGAGGCGGAGGGAGCCTTGGCACGGGAGGAATTGGCAGTGCACAGCCCCACTTCGACGCCACGGCGGGAGGGGCGCTCCAGCCCGTGGGTCAGTACGCCCCCAGAAGGAGGAGGGAACGTGCTGTGCGCCCCCCTACCCTCACCCCGCCTAGCCCCTTCACAGCAAATGAGCTTTTTGCTCTACAGTTGTGTGAGACCGACCTTAAACTTTCTCCGACCCTATCTTGGGATGCCCTAGCACGGCTCAGGTGTTGGTGGCTGTCAATAACCCGGGTTCCAACAATCTGGAAAAGTAGGACCCAGTGCCCGGCTCCCTAGCTTTACTGCTCTTAAATATATAAATTCCCGGGAAGTTTCAGATACCTCACTACGGCATTCCCCAGCTGACCTTTGGGAACTTTTAACTTGGGTCGTTACAGAACGGTAGTCTACAGGGCGCTCGAAATGGAAAAGGGTTTCCACATCAGTCGCGTTCGAGGACGCTCTCCAACTTTTGATGTCCCATTTGCTCTGAGCTTTCCCCGGGGAGAGTTTCAGGTAAGTCGCAGATAAGTCATTGCGAAGAAGGGGTGTCGCCTTCCCTGGACCCAGCGCTAAATGCTGCTTCCCCACCCCCACGTTCATATACACACCCCCTTCTTCACTCCGTCCAAACGGTTATCACAACTCTGTACAAACTGATACGGTCCCTAGCGGGCAAAGGGACTGGAAATGAACGTCGCGGGGTTATCAGCGCCTATCTGTCAGCAGTGACTCGCGCGGCCGCAGGCTCGTCCGCTGCCGGAGCCGTGATATATGTCTCTCTCCCTTTCGCTCACAGAAAGGATTTCTTCCGACAGAAGTGACCCCAGAAGGCTGCCGAGGGAAACTTTAGGACAAGAGGAGTTGTTTTTGTGATAATGCATTTTTAAACCCCACCCCCCCACACACACACAAGGTAAATCGAAGTAAATGATTTTCTAAAGGTCAGTCTCCCAGAAAGTGTTTAGGGTCTGGTTTTTTGTTTTGTTTTTACATTAGTGTTTTCCCGGTTAGGGAGGGAAAAGGAGGCTGTGCAGAGTTGAACTGGGGTGGGTAGGTGCGTTGTAAAGTATGGTTTCCAGAGATGGTGAGACCTCGTCGCTAAGCGTTGTTTCCTCTGCACGTAACTGTGAGTTGTGAACCTGTGGCTCCTGGGGAAACGGGGACGTGGGGACATGGCCTGGCAGTGCGGGGGAGGGGACGAGGAATTCAGGAAGCTAGCGATAATTCTTCTTTTTTCCTTCTTCGTTGTAAATTGCTGCTAGACACTTCTGAATTTTAAATTGCTACCAAGAAGGTCCAGAAACCGTTCTCGTCGAATGTAGTCACTTTTATTGCATTCTACTTTGCCTCCCCCAATCATTTTGACGGCTCCCAGTTTCAGCGTGCCCGCATTTTGAAAAGGCTGAAGGTAGAAAACTCTGGAATGGAGAGGCTGGCGACTGGAGCAGAATCCAGGGGCTTTAAATTTTAACCTGAGTGCGATCGAATGTGCGACTTCCAGATGAGATAGCCAGGCGTCCGCCCAGCCACTCAACCCCTGCCAGGACTCGGAATGCCTTGCTTTTTAGTTCTTTTCGTGAGTTCCGACCAAATGTTTAAGTGGACTGGGTTTTGCAGAAGCTTATTTGTAAGCAGTGACGGAAATGTGTTGTGGACATTTGATTTCCTTTGATTTCAACGTTTTGAAATAATGTTTCTCAGGTTTGCTATTAAAAGCAATTTTTTAAAAATCATCTTATTTGCTAAAAATAAAACTCTTTGGCTCAGTTTGAGTCCAGGCTGTGAACGGCCTCCAACCCTGAGCCCCGAGGAGATCGAGCCCTGGCGCGAGCCTGATCCCTGTCCTGTGTATTTCTTTGGTATTTGCAAGTACAAGGATGTCTGCACCGATATTCCTGGACACTGATACCCCCCGGGACCTGCTTTTGCCGCAGCTCCGCAGACGCAGCGGGAGGGCGCGCTGGCCCTGGCGCTGCTGGGACAGAGGTGAGCGGCGGGATGGACATTGACCGATTCGACAACGTTCGGGCTCTAAGGGCTCGGGAAGGGACCCGGCATTTTACCCTCCAGATTCCCTATCTATTTTTTAAAATAATGTTCAAAACAAATAAGAAAAATAAGTGATTGCTCCTTTTCATGGTCACAGATTGTATTTATTTTTTCAGACTGGTTTTCCAATCAAACGAGGGAATAGGTAGTGAATGCTGTTTTGGTTTTTTTTAATGTTGGTTAATTTAAAAATAAAACTTTTTAACTCGTACAGTTGATTCAGACAGAAACTCAGGCTTCCTGATCTCTCCAATGTGCCTTTTCCCCAATGCATCTTTGGCGCTAGGGACCACACCGGGGAAGACAAGCATGCTTTCAAAGCCACTCCCATGAGCCCCAGGCCCGCGCGTGGAGCTTCCTGGGCGCGCCCCAGCTGGTCTGAAAAGCCAGCAAACTAGGAAGTTCGGAGGGAAGAGGTGAACCCCAAACAAGGGAGAACCCCAAGAGCTAGGAAGAAGACCCCCACTAGTGTCCAAGGTACGCGGACAAGCTCTTAAAAGTTCTTGTTTTCTTCATCGGTATTTGTTTCTTTTCTTTTCCTTCCTTTCCTTCCCCCCCCCCCCCACCCCGTCTGTCTCCTCTTTCGGGATTTGCTAATCTTGAACGAAACTATTTATCTCAGGTCTATTTAGACCCAATGAGCGGCCCCTCCTGGGCGAGCGGTCCCCATTACCCTCACAGAGGGCTGATTCCTGGGCGCGACCTGTCCGCAGGGTTGATTTATTTGGGCCGCGCCATACCACGATTCACGATTCGAATCCACCCAGAACACTGCAGCCAATTGGGCAGGGGGCAGGGGCTTGGCTGCCAAACGGGAAGGGTGTTTGAGGACCCAGATGTGCGCCGCTTCCGGAGGAGCGGCGAGACCCGGGCAAGGACCGGAGTCTTCGCGCACCTCCACCCGCGCCAACTCACGCTCATTTTTACGACCCTGTCACAAAACTGGCTGCTCCAGCGATGTTTCATAAAGAAAAAGAATGCATTTCTGACTTAAAACATATTTTTAACTTAGATTTTTAACAGCTCAGATTTATGAGGCCTTCCCGCTTATACCATATTTCTTCCCGTCCCCGGGACGCTTCTACCCAAGGACCCGGGGTCACCTCCGAGCCCCCAACCCCTGCCAGCGTCCGGGCCCAGCGGCGGGGTCCGGGCGGCTTGTCACCTACTGCGTGGCCGTACTTGCACCGCAGGCCGTCGACCAGTCTGGCGGCGATTTTCTTTAATTCTCGGAAAACCAAAAACACTCTTTAGAAACGTCAGGTGGTGGCGGCGGAAACTTGAAGGTCGCCCCCACCCCCTGCCCCGGCTCCCCGCCGCCAGCCACTTAGGGAAGGGCCGCGCAGAGCCTGCGCCGGGGTCCCCGGGCGGTCGGAATCGAGGCCCCGCGCGCGGCGCAGGCCCGACCCGGCCCTAAGGCCCCTCGCCCAGCGCAGCCCCCGGCCGACCCCCGCGCGCCGCTGGCGGCCGCCAGCACGGCGCGGAGGTGGGCTTGCGGCGGCGGCGCAGGAGAGGTCACCGCGGTGGCATTCCTCTCCGCGCTGTTTACGTGACTTAATGTACTCGCTGCGCCGCGGGTAAGTTCGGGCCGCGATAAGGGGGCGGCCGGGGGAGGGTCGCCTTCCAAGCCCCTCGCCGGGCGCCTCCAGCCCTCCCCTCATCCATTAACCTTTTTACTTTCTTCTCCCCTCTCTCTCCAAGCCTGTTATCTAGGCCACCCAATGACCGACGAAAGATCTTCCCTCCCTGCTTCTCCCGTGGCCGCTTTAAACCAAATAAATTTAGCTATTAAGGGCCAAGATGTCTGACAAAAGATCGAAAGGTGTCTTTCCGTGATCGCTTAAAGAAGCAAAGGAGAAGCTCGCGGCTCCCAAATCCCGATAAAGAAATTCCGCGCCGGCGCCGGCCTCCCTCCCCGCGGCCTGGTTGCTCCCTGACGCCCTGAGACCCCGACTTCGGCGGCCGCAGACCCCTGAGGGGCCGGGCGGGACCCGTGGCCGCCGCCCAGGGAAGGTGAAGTCCCCTGGGCTACGGGGCCAGGGAGTGACAAGGCCCTAGGGGACAGGGCGGACACTGGGGTCCCCGGGAGTTCTGGAGCTCCAGGTGGGAGCTGGGGATCCTGCACTTCGCAGAAAACCTAAACCGAGCTCAGGGGGCCAAAATTACCACCGTATTTTTATTATTTTCTGATGCTAAATAATAAAGATAAAACCAAACCGCCCCCACTTACCACTCCACTCCCTGTGGGTCTGCTAAGAGGCAGTGTGCTGCTCCACGTCGCTGGTCCTGGGGAGCAGCCATTCCTTTGAACCCCAGGCTGAAGGTGGTGGGTGGAATTGAGGCTGCCCGGGAGGGTGTGGACTCGCAGAGAAACGGCACGCAGGTGGGAGGCAGAGGTCCAATCATTCAGTCATCCTCGGCTTGGGTTTGGTTATGAAATGTGGTATTTATTATCATTATTAATTGCTACTGGCACCACTACATAAAGCCTAAGGCTGCCAGTTGGGCTGAGGCCCTGTCCCTGGATCCCTTCCCTTTCACCAAAGGGTGATGGCAGGGAAGATCCAGTTTCCTGATCCTGGATACTAAAAAGTGGGTTTGGGGAGTCAGGTGTGACTTTTTGAAGTTTTCTCCTCCCTTCAAGTAAAAGGAGTCCATATTGCAGACCAGCATAAACCTTTTCGACCTCTGAAATAGGATAAGGAAGTGATGGGTGGGGGCTGGTGGGGTAGCTGCAGATGAGATCCCTTGGCTTCCCTGCAGGGGGCTTTCCTAAGTCTTCTGCCTCCCCTAATGTGTTCTCTAGCAGATGTTGGGGGCAGGACTCTCAATTCCAAAAGGCAGCCCAGGGTCTCCTGTCTGTCCCCTCACACTGGGTTGGGAAGTGGAAGATGCCTTTCTTTTCTTGTTAGCCCTTCCAAATAAGGTGAATGCCAAAAATCATCCATCCTATCTAATCCTTACCCCACCAGCCTCTGGGGAGGAGAAAAATCAGAGCATCAGAGGAAAAGGGAGTATTTCTGCTCCCAAGAAGGTGAAAGAGATGGAGAAATTTCCAACCCACTAGATAGGCAGGACCTAGGCTCTTCCTGGATTTTGCTGGTATCACAAGGTGTTCAGGCCATGCCAGTTCTAGGGCCTGGGTCCAGATATCACTCTCCCTGGGCTGTCTCAGCCCAAAGACCTTCCTGACTGTTCTATAGTTTGTTTTTGTTTTTGTTTTTGTTTTTTTTTTCAAAACCAAAAAGTGTGGGACAGGGATTACTAAAAGGAAACAGGAAAAAGAAGGAAATCAGCTTTTGGAGACTTGCTAAATTACAAATGCCCCTCTTTGAGACAATCAAAAGGGCAAAAAGTGCCCAAGAAGCAAACAAATAAAAATTACTAACCAAAAATATGACCTCTCCATTCAGCTATGTTGCAAACATAGAGAGAATTAGGACCAAAGGATTGTCTACCAAGATGCAGACCTCCAGTTCCCTGACACTTGCCCAATGCATACTGAGTATGCACTGCACAAGGAAGAAAGAGAAAAGTTAGCTCCTAGTTTTGAAGTGTTTACAGTCTAGAAAGTTGGCACCTCTGTAAAGCCAGTTAGGCAAAGTCCCACTTGCCAAGATGGAAGGAGATGACTGAGTTTTTTTCCCTTCTCTAGAAAAGTATCCAAGTCCAGACTGTCCTCTAGGCGACCCAGCGGGTTTGAAAAGAAAGGAGTGGCTCATACACTGAGGAAATGTCTAGGAGCCAGTGGGCCTGAGCAGGACCCTGGGCCAGCCTGCCTGGGTTTCAATCCTGATGCCACCATTTACTAGCGCTGTGATCATGGCAAATAGTCCAATCTCTCTGTGCCACAGTTTCTTCATCTGCAAAATGAAGATAATAAAAGTATCTCCTCTACAGGATTGCTAAGAGGACGAAAAGATTTCTTACATGTAAACTGCTAATAGTACCTGGCACATAGTAAATGCTATATAAGTGTTATTACTAATATCTATATTGTAATAGACTTTCATATACTACACCAAATTTCGATTTCTCGTGTGACCCAACAGTCCCCAGGAGCGAAATTAATTCCCAGGAAATAACTTATTTGAGCACTCATTCAACGTTGGGACCCGCAATTCACCAGAGGTCTCAAGCCTTTTCTATGTACCAGCAGTGAGGGCTTTATTTATTGCATTATGGTAGGAAAGGAGGTGAAGGGTGAGACAAACATAGGTTCTTTACTTGTCTTTGGCTCCTTTGAAGAGGAGACAGCCCTTGTTGTTCCCCTTGCAAATGCCAGCAACAGATCTTCTGTAATGCCTTCTACAGGACAAAGACAGTAATCTTGAGGCTCCTCCTCTGCTCCAACAAAAGAATCCCTGTCCTAAGCAGCACCCCTTCCCAGGAATCTCCTTCTGACAGTACACAGGAGTGAATTAACAGGCCACTAAGAAGGGCAACCTTGAGGACTGGCATTGGATATTAGCAGGGGAAAAAGAACTAATTAAAGTGACCTGATCATTTAACTTTAGACTTCTCTTATGCCTTTTACTGTTCAATTTGGTATTGCTATATATGCAAATTTATTATACTTTAATCACATGTTTTTTTGAAAGAAGAAAAAAAGATCTCTGAGAAGCTATGGAACACTTATTGATACAGGAAAAAAAAATCTAGGTCACTCTAGTGATTTTTCAACTGATTTTCTGTTTTGTTTTGTTTTGGTTTTTGTTTCTTATAGCACTCTATCTTCTAAAAGAAGATCTAAACCTTCATAATGAAAACTTTAAAAAGGAATTTATGGGATAAAACAAAGAATACTGTTCTCAAGATAATATGACAGGGAAAGAGGTTTGTTTTTCAGGAGGCAAAGTCTGGAGGGAACATAAAAGTCTCCTGTCCCTGCAGTTTTTCTGCCGTTTGTGCCCACCGCCTGTTTTTCTCTTGTCTTTGACAGTTCTGATCTTCTCTATGTTTGATTTACTGAGTGCTGTCATTTCTCTGCTCTTTACTTTCACAATCACACATTCAAACCTGATAAAGTTCAAGACCCTGAATACTTGCAGCTCTCCCAGATTTACAGCCCTCCTGCTCCCCTCACCAACTCCGGCCAGCCATCCCAAGGCTGATTGAATCCTCATGGACAGAAACCTTTGGGGATCAGTGGAGAGCCAGAGGGTCCAAGAGGGCTGGACCCAGGGGGAACATCAGCCCCTGTGTCAGCTCTGTTAACCACAGCAAGCCTGGGTGGGTTCCTTCCCCTCCAAAGTGGTCGTCACCATCCTCTTGGTTTTGTTCTCACTTCCAGCCTATAACCTGCCTGTGGGCAAGTACAGGAACTGTAACTCACAAAACTTAGAACTGGTGAGAATTCAAGAGGCTGAGGTGGGATGATCGCTTGAGCCCAGGAGTTCAAGGCAACAGTGAGCTATAACCAGATCACTGCACTCCAGCCTGGGCAACACATCAAAACCCCACCCTCTGTCAAAAAAAAAAGAAAGAAAGAAAAAAAGAAAGAAAGAAAGAGAGAGAAAGGAGGGAAGGAAGGAAGGAAGGAAGGAAGGAAGGAAGGAAGGAAGGAAGGAAGGAAGGAAGAAGAGAAAAAGAAGAAGAAGGAGGAGGAGAAGGAGGAGAGGGAAGGAAGGAAGGAAGGAAGGAAGGAAGGAAGGAGGGAAGGAGGGAAGGAGGGAAGGAGGGAAGGAAGGAAAGAAGGAAAGAAAAAAGGCCAGCTGGGGTGGCTCACACCTGTAATCCCAGCATTTTGGGAGGCTGAGATGGGCAGATCACCTGAGGTTAGGACTTAGAGTCCAACCTGGCCTATAACATCGTGAAACGCTGTCTCTACAAAAACCACAAAAATTAGTCAGGCATGGTGGCATGTGCCTTTAGTCCCAGCTTCTCCGGAGGCTGAAGTGGGAGAATCACTTGAACCTAGGAGGTGGAGGTTGCAGTGAGCAGAGATCACTGCACTCCAGCCTGGGTAACAGAGTGAGACCTTGTCTCAATCAAAAAGAGAAAGGGAGGGAAAAAGAGAGAGAGAGAGAGAGAGAGAGAGAATTGGATGCAAACTTGTGGTCAATGTGCATGCATGAGTGCTAAATTTTCCTGACTACTAAACAGCCTTGCAATCAAGGGCAAGACACTTAACCTCTCGGTGACTCAGTTGTTCTATACATAAAATGGTAGAAATATTACCTTCTATAAACATTAATCACAAACTAATGACTTGGGTCCCCTTTACTGCATGTATGTCTCTCAGGGCCCCAGGACGACTGCTAGCATGTGGCAGGTCTGGCTTTTTGGTTTCTGTCAGGTTAAATACAAACTTACACATTAATCTAAATACTGCACCAGTGTGCTAAACAAAAGGAATGATCTATTTCCAAAGGCTGAACAGTTAACTTAGAGTCAAGTTTTCAAACCACTGAAATGTCTTCTGATAGAAGATGCTATCTAAATTATTTATTCTTTGCCTGTAAATATAAGCCCACTAAACCACAGAACACTGACCAAAGGCAATCTCTGAGGATGGACGCCCTTATTCTCAGTGTTTACTCTAAAGGAACATCATATTTACCAAATAAGCAATTCTTTTGCATGAGCTAATGTTTTCATTTATCTTGAACTATCAGAGTTTTCTGACTAAGGTAAACATTTTAGGTAGCAGCAGTTTAAGTAGGTCTTTTTTTTAAAAAAAAATCACTATTCTAAGTCTATTAACTAAGAAAGATATGATTTTTTTTCCCCTTTAACACTCATGTTCTACAGAGAGCTAAATTGTCATAATACCTAAGGGGAAAATCGTATTAGCCTATTAGGGAAGAAAGCAGAGTTGTTGCCTACCTTCAGAAGGGATTTTTATTTTTAATCTATTCATTCAAGAGACACCCATTAGAGTATATTACAATGTTGCTTTTTCACAGGCCATAATAATATTCACCTCTACAAAGGTGAATAAAAATGGAAACTTGACTTAATGGATATCAAATAACTTTTTCTGGCTACTCCTAAACTAGTTTTCTGCTCTGTTTACAATACCACAAATTAAAGGCACGCAATTATCCAACAAAAACAGTGTGAATATCACACCATTTTTAAAGAGTGACTACCAGTGCCCAGCAAACCCTAGCCAAAAACCACAGTATGGATCTACAAAGCTGTCAACCTTTACATTTCAAAGTCCTCTTTCTGTCCAGAGCTCAGCATGCTTTGGGCAGAAGTGCAAAAGGCTAGGTGCATAAGGAAGAGTCTTCCCAGTGTAGCCGCTGCAGCAGCTGGCTGCACCTCTGCACCTGGAGCTAGATTAAGCACCAGTTATGGAGGCATGGGTTCAAATCCCAGATACGCAGCTTGCTGTTACTCTTTAGCTGTGTGATCTTGGGCATGTTCCTTAATATCTCTACTTCCGGCGGGGCGCAGGGCTCACACCTGTAATCTCAGCACTTTGGGAGACCGAGACTTGCGGATCACCTGAGGTCAGGAGTTCGAGACCTGCCTGGTCAACATGGTGAAACCCTGTCTCTACTAAAAATACAAAAATTAGCCGGGCATGGTGGCAGGCGCCTATTATCCCAGCTACTCAGGAGGCTGAGGCAGGAGAATCGCTTGAATCCAGGAGGTGGAGGTTGCAGTGAGCTGAGATTGCGCCACTGCACTCCAGCCTGGGAAACAGAGCAAGACCCTGTCTCCAAATACATATATATATATATATACACACACACACACACACACAGACAAAATACACACACTTTTCATTTTTCTCATCTGTGAAAAGGAGATGTTAACAGTCACCATCTCACATGACTTTCATGAAAATTAAATGAATTAAGAAGAAACAAAGAAAAACAAAACAAAAAAAGAAAATTAAATGAATTAACATTTATAAAATGCTTAGAAGAGTGTCTACCTCAATATACAGGCTGTTTGAGATGTTTGATATATAAGCAAAACCACAAACTTCTATTTCAGGCCACTTTTTAAGGAGAAGAGAGGAGGTAGCAAGGCCTCAAAGAAGTGAGGTAGGAACGTGATCAAAACTAAAAAGAAAAGACAAGAAAAAGATTTTGAGAATATTAGACATTTCCTTCAGGAAATTATTTGCAATCATCAACTCACCCTGTCTATCCCTAGCTGATAGTGCAAATAAGTTTGTTTTATTTGGTCATTCAAACTCCTTGATCAAATGCCTGCTGAGACAAACACGAGGGTGGGCACGAGAGTTGCAAAGATTCGTGACAATGCCCTGCCCTCAAACTGCTCCCAGATAACCAGGAGAGACAGACCATGTTACAGAAAATTGCCACAACAGGTGGCGGGATCTGCTGGAGTGCAACCAGGGAAGGCTCCTGGAGGAGTTTCCAAAC